GAAGGAACCCTTCGGTGGCTTAGTTAACGCTTCGTGTTCACGGCGTGGAGGTCCCACGCTCGATTTCGGGCGCTGGAGTCTTTTTTTCTTGATTTTTTTCTTGCGTTTTCACATATAGATACTTATACATATATGGCGCATGACGCCGACGCTGAGTGCGGCGGCGAAATCCAGCCGAGAGTGTCCATATAATTGCTATCGCAATAAAAAAAAGGCAGCGAGCCTGGTTGAATTCGAACATGGAACCTCCTGGCTGAGCGTCTGCTTCTAATGTGGGAGGTACAGGCTTCGATTCTCAGTGCCGGCTGGAGGCCACCGGATTTAAAGGTAGAGGGATCGAGTGCCCGGACTTGTCTCGGTTCTTTAGGTGGTACTGAACTCACCCTACAGATCGGTTAAGGTAGGTACGAGTGGGCTTCGAAATGGTGTTACGGCAGTACGATGCCGAAATAGGTCATGGGGAAAGGGGGGGGGGGCACTCCACGTCGTGGTAACTTGGCGGCATTAGACCCCCGGGTCTCACCGCCCCATACTATTGTAGTGTGCCCCCCCCCCCTATAAAAACTTCTTCGTTTATGAAAAAAAAAGGCCCACCACGATCCTATGGCCTATGAGGCCCACCCGTAATGTTGTTCTCCGCATTAAATCTGTCAAGTTTCACAAATTAAGTGATAGCACGTACGTCTGAGTTTTGACAGTAAGATGTCTAGAAAACTTCCTTATCCTCCAGCAATCCCAGCTTTGTCTTGCGAACCTCCAACCTTTTGGTTATCAACTGAACACTATACGCACTCGGCTACCATCATGGCACAGGGTGCGCAGTGCAGCGCCTCCATGGCTGATGCACTACAGTAAAGCAGTGCAGCAGCCATGGAGGTGCGCTCAACACTCACTACTGCGCATATCGCGACGACGCATGACACTCCGATAGCCAGAGTGCCGATGATGAGGCAGACCTGGTAGTGGAGCGGCTGGACGTGTTCTTGTTCTTATTAACCTATTGCCTGTGACGCATACCCACTGTGGGAGATTGGCCAAGGATTGAGTGGTTTTATAAAATATTGTGCATTTTCAGAATAATGGAGATTATATAATGAAAAAATTACCGATTACTTAGGAAATTGTCTTGAACCACTTCGTCTTTCTCCTCCCCCTCGTCCTCTTCATCGTTCCAGTCGCTGTCGTCGCTCTGGTCAACGTCAGCGACGACGTCCAAGGCGTCAACAACGCCGGGAACCGTAGGCGCCTGCATGTCGACAACGCTGCACACTCGAATGTAAATGGTCCTGCTGCGGGCTCCGTGAGTTCTCGAGCGCGACCCACCGCGAAGCCAGCCTCGCGTGCTTGCTCAATTGCTTGCTCCTTAGTACTGATGAGGATGATGACCATTCTGATATGATTGTCACCTACCCACTCTGGAAGATCATTTGGCCCATTCAGGAGCCAATGTGTAGGTCGGATGATATGACCTTATTTTTTCTTAGGGAGAGAGAGAATTTCTTAACAGAAAGGCCAAGAGGTCTGCTTGAGCTACAGTTTGTGCAGGCTTGCCTCTCTACACTGAGAAAAGGGGACAGTGGAGCAGACGAGTGATGAATGGCATTGGTAAGTTGAGGGGACACTATAGACCCGTCCTGCTGGAGCAAATCTAAGCACACGCATTTAGTCCAGTGGTTTAAAGGAAGAATATGACCATTCATGTAACCACATTTGCGTTGCTTACGTCGGGGCCAAGTGCTCAAAACAACCACATCGGATAGTGGTCTATTATGAAACCATGCAATCAATTAAATAAGTTTCTGGCGTTTCCGAGCTAGTTCTGGACACACGCGAAACATAAGTCTAAATGTTTCTTGTTGTTAGTGACCATAACTTCCATCTTCGTCACTGGCTGATCAAGCACCCATAACGTCTTACAAAGGTCACACCTGGATGAATCCGGTCAATCATACATGGAATGTTTCACTTCAGCTCGTACGTGAAGCATGCGGGACCTCATTTCCGAGTACCGTTTATGCAGCCACCTGTACAGTCATACTAGGTGGCTCCAGTATTCTGATTCGGAGTTACAGTATAATGTGGCATAAATTAGATGAAAGATTGATATTTCTATGAATAATAAGTTTAAACTTCCAAATGTGTGTAACCCTTTACAAACGTCCGGCATGCGTATGCACGCAGTGGACTTGTTCTTTCTTTTTCTTAAGCTGGGAGAAGTATGTTTTACAATATATGGCACATACCCATTTTGGGGGTCTGGCCATCAATTCGAGTAGCCAAGATGCTCTTCTTTCTCTATTTCAAATCAAATACTTCGTCGTATGGTGGGGACACTACTTAGTTCCCGTCCAATGTGGATGTGTTGGATGACGCCACCACAATACGTAGTTAAGAGGTTAACGTGATAGCGTTAAGTGTTTCGTTTTGCAGAAATCTCGGCGTAGCCAAAACTTTGTCTCGGTAAAATCATGTTCACAAATGTGATGAAACTGCAGGACATTAGACAACGTCATCTACATTGCTGAGTCGCAAAAGTGGGGTGATGTTTTCACTGCTTTACAAGCAACAATTGTGGTACAGCCCGAGTCATTATTCGATGCTGCACATCTGTATGCACATTCAATTAGCTCATCTTGCTGTGTTCCAATTGATCGGCTGCACCCATCTTTCAACTTAAATTAGACTAGGGAACTTTAGTATCCGACGTATATACGGTGGACTCTAAATGGGAACCTATAGAACGGAAACCTATAAAACAGGATCGCTCTTCGACTGGAAAAGTCGACTAATAAAAAACGGTATTGTACTTCATTTGTGCGCAAACGTGTCCCGAGAGATTTTGGCGGAGCATTAAGCCTACATCTACTAAATGTAATGTTTTTGTAATTGATGGCGTTGATGTGCATGATAGCAAGGTTATTTCGAATGCCTTTAATCAACAATTTAAATCGGTTTTCACCATTGACAATAATGTTCTTCCCTCATTCGATGCAGATTATCCACCTATACCTGACGTTGTTATCAGTGAGCATGGCATTCTAAATATGCTACTTAAACTCAATGTTAAAAAGACACCCGGACCGGATAGCATTCCAAACGCATTTTTAAAGCGCTATGCCGGGTGGATCGCCAAATATCTGTATGTTTTATTTTCAAAATCGCTACACGAAGGTCGAGTACCAGATGATTGGAGGGCCGCCAGAGTCAAGCCTCTTTATAAGTCGGGTAAAAAGCAACTTATCTCAAATTATCGTCCTATTTCATTAACGTCAACTACCTGTAAACTTATAGAACACATAATACATACGCATATCTCTGAGTTTCTTAGTAAGCATAATATCTTAACAAAACACCAGCACGGATTCAGAAAAAGCTATTCAACCTGTACGCAACTTGTCGAGACAATTCACGATTTCGCAACTTCAATTAACAATGGGACACAAACTGACGCCATTTTTATGGACTTTTCAAAAGCGTTTGACAAAGTCTCACACAAGAAATTACTTTTTAAATTAGAGAAAACACTTAAAAATCCGCGCCTAATAAAATGGATAGCAGACTATCTTATAAACCGTAAACAATTTGTTGTTTTTAACGAATGCTGTTCAGAAGAGGCAACCGTTGACTCTGGCGTCCCACAGGGTACGGTTCTTGGACCCCTTTTGTTTTTAATTTTTATCAATGATATTGTGAATGAAGTTCCTGTAAAAATCAAGTTGTATGCAGATGACTGTGTCATATATTCTGAAATATCCAATGTAACCAATCAAATTATTCTGAATAGTGCCTTTTATAACATTGTGAAGTGGTGCGATTTACGGCAGATGTCAATTAACTTCGATAAAACAGTATTTATGCGAATAACTCACAAGAAAAAACCCTTACTATTTAATTATTCCACCGCAAGTTTCACCCTTTCTGAGGTAACTAACATTAAGTATCTTGGCATTTGGATTACCAATGACCTTAGCTGGACTAAACATATTGACTCTGTAGTTACAAACGCTAACCGAAAACTATTCTTCCTTCGAAGAGCTCTAAAACATTCTAATTCAACGGTGCGTACTCTAGCGTACAGGACTATCATTCGCCCAGTGTTAGAATATGGAGTGATTGTTTGGGACCCCTTCACTAAAGCTAACATAACTAAATTGGAAAACGTACAGAAGAAGGCAGTCTGCTTTATATTTAATAGCTTTGGACGCACCTCTATAACTGAACTCCTACATCGTGCCAATGAGCCTTCAGTTACCGAAAGAAATCGTTTAATACGACTACAATTTCTTTACCAAATAATTGAAGGGCATTATAAGCTTGATGTTTCCAACATCATTTCCTTTTCCTCTGGGTACGCCACCCGCCAAAGGCATCAACTTACAATAACCCCTTTCCGGTCCCGAAATAACTGCTTCAAATATTCTTTTCCTCGTACAGTAACTCAGTGGAATGGATTAACTAATAACCAAGTGATAGAGCCGTCCTTAGAGTTGTTTGCAGCAAATTTAACCTGATTGTTTACATCATGCTGTTCTATTTTTTGTTTGTTTGTTTGGTTTATGCAATCTTGAGTGCCAACATTGTGAAAATTATATCTGTAACCACCCTGCTAAAATCTCTGTAATAGGGATTGCAGTATGAATAAATAAATAAATCTTAGCAAATGTCACTTCTGTCAATCAGAATACTTTCCTGGCCCCTTCAGGTTCCCTTTAATAAGTCTACCGCAATTTGAAATCTGAACGATAAGTAGCACCAAAAAAAAATGGGCACATCGTTAATGGAGGATGGATATGACAAGCTTACGATTACGCTTCGACTGAGTGTCCTCTTGTAAAACTATTTGAGGAACGCTCAAGTTCTACGTCACACAAGCTAGGTCATTAACTGTAATATGACGGTTTCCGTGAATTGGCACAGGTCTGCCAAGAAAAAGCGCTGGACTAGCAGAACGCCAGTTGGCTATGGTTAAGAAGCATCCCACAAGACGCAAAGGCCGATTTATTTGTCCCAATAAATTGCAGAGGCCGCATAATTATTGAAAGTAAAAAAAAGCAAACAGCATAAGTCCTGTCACAGAATAGCGTCTGGCAAAAGTGCATAGGAAGACAACACTGATTGGGCAAAACTGGCATATGAAATTGACTATAATGAATACTGCATATCGATACTCTGAACTGGATAAATGATGCAAATACAGTATGCCTTAGTCAAAGGGGAAAATACAAAAACGGCAGAGGCCTGCCAGCATTTGGCAAAGACAGGAATACTTTTAGGTACGCTTAGCACCAATTAAAATTGTAACACAAACAGAAATATTTTAAGCACCTCTTTTGTTCAATTAAATCACAATGTTCGATTTGAAATAGAACGTCAACATTACGAGACACACTGTAGCGATTAACGAAAACAAACTACGTTGTTGTCTCAGCATTTATTTCTAGAAATAAAACACGTGCTGCACATTCGAAACGTACATAAAAGCAATCCTTAAAAACATTTAAGATCATAAGATGCATGCAGCAAGTGTACTTGTTAAAACAGGCACGCTAAACAGCACGTACAAATGATTCCATGGCACGATTAGAATTAAGAGCACTGTAGAAGTTCCTGGGCATGAAAGGGAGACAAGCTGTCTTAACTTAGTTGTAGAGTGCACTGTTTTGTCGTCGCAGTTTTATTTTGTGCGTGGCCTGGCTTGAATAACGTTCGTAACAGTACACAATGTTTCCTGCAAGAACATTATCAGAGCACTTCTATCAATCTGCCGGCCCTGCAGACTTATAAAAGATGAATACGTAGCGAGTTGCCCACCTTTTCACGGTAAAGAGCATCAATATGTCACTGCATTGCACGATGCGAATGAATGCCTCGATCATAGCAAAAAAAAAAAAAAAAACACGAGATGGGCCAAGTAGTTCCACTGCTAGACACTGGTGAAAAGAGACCATTGTGGCGTGCTGCTGCTTTGAACGTCACGCCTACGTAATTTATTCAATGGTAGAGGTCTATAGTGGTCTAGAAACACTAGATGCACTTAGCGGCTGAGCAGCGTACTATTAAATTAAAACTGGCAGATTCTGCAAACCATCAGATTGTCCTCAAAACTGTTCTGCACAGTGATCGCGGAGTGAAATGCATTATCAAATTTTAGGATAACGGCTGCTTAGCGCAATCACTCGATACAATGACGTTATGTGACATATCTGGCCTGAAAAGAATGTTTCCTTTGATTTACGTGTTCGACTCGATATGTCGATCTTAGTCGAACTTGGTACTGCAAAAGAATGTGGGTTACTTAGCTCTAAATATTCCTGTTTCAATCCGGAAGTACAGTGAAATACGAGGCTATGAAACATCGGCACGAACATGTTACATGAATAACTCGTAGCCTAGAATGGATGCAGAGATCACTGGCGTGTTTCACGGGGTCAGGTTAAGCAGCACTGCGTCGCCCACTGTTCATATGGAGCACAGTGGAGCGATGACGGGAAGCAACGTGGAGAAGAGTTCGTACACATAGTGAAGACCGAGAAGGATAGGGTGAGGAGTCGAGCTTGCTTGCATGACGCATTCCACCAAAGCAATCAAGGGGACGAGAATCCGGATGGTTCAGAACCAATGGAGGCCGTGGCCGCAGAACAGGGTCGCGCCCTTTACAGTTGCGCAGGTTGGACATGGAAGGCGACGCAAGCGCTGGTGTCACACGGTCCAGATGGGATGAAAAGCTGTAACAATACTAAATATGTTTAGACGACGTGCAGATAAACAACGTATACATGCAGCAACGCAAGTTTAGGAGGAACGCTATATTTGAGAGAAGGCCAAATTTCAGCTTAACCTACAAATGAACGAAAGAGAATCTTTTCCTCACTTAGTGAAGCACCGGATAGGAAATTCGAAGGTTGTGGGCAGAGATACCGCCGACAGATAGATGTATTTACTGCAATTTACGTTATAACTGCTACACTACACTTAGCAGTGTTTTTATGCCCACCCCGAGGTTGTGTAAAGAATGCGAACATCAGAAAAAAATCGTTTCATTTGTCTCTAGATCTGCAATCCACTCCTTCGCTAATGGCATAATCTCGGCGCAGGCCATTCGCATTCTCCAGAACAGTCCTAAATAACTGTCATACGCTTATTTGGTTCCCTGTTCACATCGGACACATCCCCGGCTGCCCCATCAACATCAATGAATCTACTCACAGCGCTGCGTGCGTATTGACTGACCACGCAGATACTGGCCGATTCGAGGCCCTGGAGAGCTGGGACGTACGTGCCATCCACTTATAACAAAATTACCAAGCACTTCTACCTCTCCCGTCGTGTCTTCCCGCCGCCTAGCCTTAAGCTAGGTCGGCCTCAAGCTCTCACTTTAAGACTATTGCAAACGAAGTCATACCCAAATCTACACGTCCTCCACGTCATATACCCGGAACTCTACGGTAATGATATATGCAACCAATGCACACTCACCCCGGCTACGCTTAGACACACGCTCTGGGAGTGCACTACAATGTATAACGACGTTAACCCCGATGCTATACTTCAAAGAGGTGGGCGGCAGCCTTGCGTAGCTCCAGCCTGGCCGACCAGAAATGGGCCGTCCAGCAAGCCCGCGATGCGGCTGTTAGGCTAGGCCTCTCAGTCCCAACGTGGGAGCCCTGAGCGCGTTCCTTGTAGGAAGTTAATGTTATTCCACCCATCTTATCCCTCGTCTCACCCCGGCAGATATGCACAATACCTTAGATGAGCATGCCAGCTTCCATTGGTCGTCAGCCGTCTCGTGTAAAAATCACTGGCCACACTAATCTGGCGAAAAGATTGTTCCAGACGCACGACATCTGTGCCAATACTTGGGAATCGCATGCACAGAGATCAAACCAAGCAGATGGCAACGCGCTTATGGTCGTAGGTAAATTAGCAGAGCACTAGACGCATAATTGGAAGGACGCAGGTCCTACTACGTTATGATGAGGGTGTTTTTCGTCTAATTTATATTCAAATGACATTACAGTTCAAAAAAAATTTTAAATAATCTACGTTCTTTTTGGTTTAAGTTAAAATGCATTCGCTAAAGCACACATACCGTGAAGTTTACGGGGGGGGGGGGGGGGGGGGGGCGAATGCTGCTTTGCATTCGAAAATCCACGTTTCGTACCAGAAAATAGCTGGCAAAAAAAAAGCGCCAGGCCTGCGCGCAAGGCGCAGCACAGTCACAGCCAAAGCTAGGAGAGCGGCCTTTCATAGCCTTTTCTAAACACTCCCTGCGGAACTGCTGCAAGCACACTTGCTTGATACCACTACGGCATTAATAATGAAAATTTCGGGGTAGTAGCTGGCATTCCTTATGTTATTTTCCGTCATTTTTCTTAGAAGCGTGGTATCTGTTATAACACTGCCAAGAAATTTTTTGCCAACTGTTCGTTGTCAGCCACTACATGGTGAGGAATTATGCCTGAAGTGGGTGTGTGCCACAGTTAATACCTGAACAGAAACAAGCTTTTGTAATGGGTTGGAGCAATGGACAATCCACTCGTTACGCTATTCACATTGTGCGACGACTAGTTCTTTCGCTGTTTAAAACGCTTTAAAGGTCGTATTAACGCGATTGCTTTCCCGACATCAAGCCTGCCTAAAGCAAGTTTGCCAACATATCCAAAGCACCGGTGTAGCGCAGTGGTCTACAATACTGGGTTGGCACACAGCGGACCCGAGTTCAAGTCCCACTGTGTCGTTTTTTTCTTTAATTTCGTGCGATATAGTTACGGACATCGGCGGAAAACTGCATGTGGCCTGAGTTGTGATCTCATAACAGCTTTCGCTGTGTAACTTCTGGTTGGTAGCGCAACGGCATTTGGAGTGGGCTTTCCTGTCGAATTCGAAAGGGGAAATCTAACAGATAGGTCCTACCTAAAGTTAGCTCATACCTACCTGGTGTCCGCTGAATTCTCCCTCACTACACGACTCGTATGATGACAGCGGCCGGTGCACAACTTAGTATATAGTGGACGTTTGCGAATACTAGTGCCGACTTAGTAATACGCACCAAACTACAAGCACCTGGCAAGCAAAACCCACGAACGTTAATTGGCCTTTACGGTGCGGCGCAGGCCCCTTCAAGAGGTCTTGTGCTCTGCAAGTCTATCACATTTGTGTGTTGCGCTTGTTCCTTTCGCTGCGCCCTCCCCAGCCAGTCCCCGTTCAGCTCCGTCGCGAAGAATCGCCGTGGCAACAATCGTGTCCAAGTTCTGTTACATAATAGTGCCCTGCAAAATGGCACAATAAAAATGGTGAGCGCTCATAATCGCTCAAAAATGCCACCCTCTACAACTCTGTTATCTCACTGCACCTCACCCAATGATCATATACAACTAATTAAGTTCATACCGATGAGACGTTTTCGCGCTCGATCTGCTCGTTTCCGGGGAGGTGGCCAGGCCCTTGTCCACGACCTCTTAGCAGCTTGTGGCCCAGGAGACAGTTTGTAGAGCTGCAATGACAGCCAAATCCTTCGTTACTTTTATTGTGGAATTGAATTAGACAATTTTACGTGCCACAATACGATTACGAGGCGCACCGCGTGTGGCGGAAGACTCATTTCAACCACCCAAACAAGCGCGAACGTGCACTGAAATTTATATAGAGTACTCACGGACTGACATGAGAATTTTCAGCGCTAAGTTAACATGCTTTCGTTCCCAGCATATACAGTTCGTTTCGTATCAACCTAATTTTCAGTAGCTTTACTGCCAGCATTACCTCAAGTAGCCATATTTGCGGTGACACGATACTGATTTAGGGAGCAACCGCTCATAGCATTAGTCATACTAAGAAATTCCACGTTTGAATCGGCGAATATACACTACTGTGGCATGTATACATCAAAATGCAGCATCTGCCGTTGGGAATCGTACCCGTGTCCTCGAGCTTGGAAGCTCAGCGCGTTAGCTGCGAAGCCACCATGGCGGTATACTGTAGATACATCACGTGCATGCAGTACCCTAAATGTACGATTACACATACGAGAGGCATGGTGCGGCAGGCGGAACGCTCCTGCCGGGGACCGGACGCAGAATCAACTTTCGCGGGCAGCGAAAGTTGACGAGCTTAAAGGCACGATAATCGCTCGTTGGTCTCGGTAGCAAGGTAGAATTTCTTTGCGACTTACACGAGCCGGTTGAGGACACCTGGACGCATGAATGTTGCGCAAGACGCGGGGTTCTTCACCTCTCCCAATTCGTCCGAGCTGGTGAGATGAAGAACACCGAATCTTGCTACCTGAAAGAAACGGGCGACTCGTGAGAAGACCGAAGCGCACGCAGAACTCATGAACAAAGTGACGCCATTGTGTTAAGAGCCCAGAACACGAAAGACCACAGCACATGCACGCATGTCCGACCGTCTTTTCAGCACTATAGCGTCGTTCATAGCAGGCATTGTACTAGCCCCCACCTCCCCCCCCCCAAAAAAAAAAATGTACGTTCTTAAATATGATAGGCGCTCACCCTGAATACTGCTCCAAAGTACGTGGATCAGGTCAGACTGACCATGCGTGCTTATAGATGAAAATAAATGGGGGTGAATGTTAAAATTGCAGTGACACAAAAGCTGGAAGGACATAGACTTGTGAAACTGACAATGGATTGGCACTAGTCACCGTAGTGACAATACTACTAATAAAATTTATTTGCCATCAATGGTAGGGTTGACGGAAGTCACGATACAAAGAGGAACGCTTTCAGAAGTTGGAAACAACAGCTATTAGTAAGACATCTCGCAGGGAAAAAAAAGATATACCTTGATCATTCATTAGATCAATCGGGTTTTACGCCCTGAAAGCATGCACGATATCAGAGGTCTTCGAACACCTGGGGTTTTAACATTCACTGATTGATTAAATTTGAATAGTATACTTTATAATGTAATCCATTAAACGCAACGTTCACTCAATGATAAACAGACGAAGACGAGTGTAAGAGTCAAGAAGAGAGCGAAAAACAAAAACCAACATGGATCAACAATGATGTAGAACTGAAAGGCGAGTTGAGTCCAGCGCTTGTCCCGTTTCTCTTGTGTGCTGCCCAATAATGAATGATGGACCGATGGAAGTAGACGCTAGTTCTCTGAAATGTGATGGGCTGACGAGAAAAATGGGTCTCACACCCACGACGGAAGAAGCTACTTGTCTTTACCTGCCTAGTGTTCGCTCAACCTACAGCGCGCGCGCTTCCGCCGCGAGAGAAGACCCCGAAGAGCCAGCCTGGTTAGCGGGCTCACCGAATTCGATGCCGTTGTTGAAGCTCGCCGTAAACTACGTCCCTTGCGGTGGTGCCCGACGAATTGCCGGCGATGAAACCCGATGAGCGTTTGCTTCTCGTCGGCGGTTAATGGCACTGATGATGGCACCGGTGGCACCGAGCGCTTGCGGAGCTGCAACGACATTAAATACACTGGTTCTACTTTTTGCGCAAAACAAGTTAATTGGCTGGGATTTATGCTGGAAAACAATGGCAAGCTCACGGGGCACGCTGTAGGACATCACCTTTTCACACTACCAAACGCGTCGAAACAAAATGTCTAGCTGAAAAAGCAGTCGCTTAACACCTGATTGGGAAGTGGGCGCGCACATTGAACACAGGGACTGTAGACCAGAAATCAAGTTCATTTTTTGTTGCCCTTTTTCCTTGTGTTCGTGTTTGCAAGACCACAGATCGAGGATGAATTCCCACCAATGAAATCAACTTTCCATTGTGCTAGATATTTAGATGTCACACTGCAGAAAGCATTAAACATTTAGTGATGGTAGTGAAATCTTGGCAGCAGGATTTGCTACCAGCTGTAGTCATCTTAGTATCAGTTCAACGCGAACTCACGCTTAGCAAAGCGTGTTTATAGTGGTAATGATAAACAAGATTTTACTACTACGATGGCATGGTTAGCAACATTATTGAAATGATGACCTACACATGTGCACGTCCATGCGGTTTATATATGCCACTTGCATTGTCTAAAGCCGTATTAGCTTAAGGTGAGGATAAACCTAACCAAAATAGTTTGCACCCATTTGCTTTAGGCACAGTGTTCCTGTCAACTTTCGCCACGATAGAAGTCTTCGATAAATTGTACGAACCGCACATTAGCGGTAGTCGTGCATACGCACAACCATGTTTCGAATCTTAGTTATTACGCAGCTGGTAATTAAAATTGTGCTTCAATCTAACGTGCCAATTACAAGGTGTTTAGCCACCTCCATTAACCTAATAATCTAGCACTCATTTTAAGCTGAAGATACAATGGTTGTGTTCGTTTAAGGACTACCAAAATTCATTTAAGTATGCGAAACCCATACATGGCTGCGTGCTGGCAAACTCGCAACTCAAGCACTCGCACAGTCGACCGATACACGGCTGAATTTGTTTATCGCCATACCGAATAGGTGTACACGAGGTATGAGATAGTTGCAGAGCAAAACCTACTGCTCACGCATTCATAAGCACGGCGTAGTAAGTCGTGAGCGGGGAGAGATTGTAATTTATAGGCAGGAAACCCAACTGTCACCACTCGCTGCACTCTCGTTTTGTGGACAAGAACCCCGTCGAACGTTAAAGCAATGCTATGTGTCGGATGAGACCAAGTTAGCAGATTCCTACTTAACCTCTAACGCCAGCTATGTCATGAACATTTTATGGTCCAAAATGGTAAACTGTACAAAGTTGCGATAAGTGAATGCAGCCATAATTTAATCAAAGCTCGGTCTGAAGTGCTCTAGCAGGGCAGTTCGCGCGTGCGCAATTTTGTTGACTTTCTTAGCCAAAAAATTCTTGAACATTTCTGGCGAAAATTAATGTTAGAATCCAAGGTTATTCGAGAGCTAGAGCCAACTTTGATAGGCAAGCAACTGAAGCGTTAATGGACAAGATTACTGATTAAAAGTAAAATAATCCTGACTTGACATGCACCTTACTACTATTGCCCCAATGGTATGCCTTTTGGGAACGTAGTATTTAAAAATCATTGTCGAAGTTGGGATACATATCATGGTAATGCCGAAGGTACATACACAAGACCGCAGAAAAGTGAAGAGATGTGGCACTGTCTTGACGCTAATTGATAAGGTAATTACCATGTTATACGGACACCCCAACGAACAATGATGCATTCGGTAAAAATATGCGATCGAGCTCAAGACTAATTGCAACTTGTTGCCTTTGGTAAAAATCGCACCAAAAACGTATGTTAGTGCAAATAGAAGAAAAAAAGTTTAGAAAATACCCAACAGGAACTTATAAACCCGTGTTCAATTACAGATGTTTTATAAACCAATAGAACGTTTGGCAGTGTCACAGAAGCTGGTTCAAGAAATGCCACCATGATGCAACTTGAGTGCGACTGCATGTAGGCACGAATGACCCCCCCCCCCCCCTACACACAAAATGTCACGCTTTCACTCTCATGAAGCGTCTACTCCTGTCAAGCGTGGTAATTCTTTTAATTATGGATGAGTAGTTTTGAACAAGCTCTGTTTAGAGTCCCTTAATGATGTACCAACCAGTCTAGTTATGTGCGCTGGTGAATTTACAGTTTTAGTGCATATATTCAAGAGGCTGGCTTGGCTAAATGTACAGGCGCCCACAAAAAACATTCGGAGGGCCGAACTGGTAGCGGCTGAAGCGCGGGTGAGAAAGTAGAGCCAAGGTCTGCACATGCACGGCATCCCAAAGCAACGACGCACCGCTCCCCAGTAGATGTACTAGTATGTGTTGTCCTGCTCCAAAATATGCGGGTGCCCTTGAGCACTTCACAATGGGGCTTTGCGGATGAAATTTCTTGGACGATCCGTGTGCGCTTATGCGCGTGATGGAGCATGCGTGCACGCGCATATATACACGTCAATCGGCATCGGTGTCTTTTAAAGCGAAGGAATCAACTGGCTCACTCGCGGAACGAGACTATCCGGCCACCCGTTGCAGACATCAGTTGCGGTATAGCCACAGTCTGAAATTGGCATATATACACATCTGTATCGTTCGGGAAGGCTTGTAAAATTTAAGCACGCAGTAACTAAACGTAATTGAATAACCCCGAGACTAGTTAAAAGTAGTTAAGCTAACAGGAGTAAGCCATATTTCACACCATATCTGCCAAAGCGTGCGTAAGTAGTTCACTAATGAATAAACGTAATTGCCTTTGATTATGTGTAATGAAAGGCTGCGAACAGTATCAGTGGCTACAAAAAAACACTTTAGTATCAGTGGTATCACTCGTTACGCCAAATAAAAACAAATGTTCATTAGTAGAGTCAAGTTCTATGAAGTTTGTAATAAAGAGTAAATTTAGGTCACACAACAACGATGACGCGTGCATATAGAGAACTCGAATAGCGCGGAAGAAAACTGCAGCCTACCGGCTTCGACCAACCAGGATGTGGTGTTGTAACGCTAAAGAGAACGGACTGCGTGCTTTTGACGCAAGTCAACATATATGCATACTATAAGGAGCGAGGCTTGCTTGATAGGAAGGCTGCGCACGCAATCGAAGTGTTCTTCCGACAAATGGGCAACGGCCCGGCGCTGCGAATTTTTCGTCAGCACCTGTGCACTCAAATCTGAGCATACTGGAATTCCTTCCTTGAAAAAAAATATATACATCTGCAATTGCTGGCAATCATATGCCGCGCACCTTCGCCTTTTGGTATATCACTAACGCCCCAGTTGCTCCGGTATACCAACACTAGCATGCCCATAGTAATTTTTCGGAGAATGATGACTGAATAAATTAGCGAGAAGCAATAATACTCATTTTATATCACTCTTAAACATATGGGAAAGGGCTTAGTCGAAGCAACGCCAGGAAATTGCTCGCCCGGGGGGGGGGGGGGATGGATATGCCGATGCACCTCATGGTGTGTGGTGAAGACGTCGGTGTTCCTGGGCCAAAGTAAATCAGTATCAGTAAACAATTTTAAACAAATGCAGTCATTTGTAAACAAATGCAGTCACTTAACACAATAGTTCGCAGATAAAATGCAGTCACATGAACACTTCGTGCAGCAAATAACACTACACAACGTCCTGTCACCGCGGGGACACAAAAGGAGTTCGGGCATGAAAAGCACAATGTGGCGCAACCACTGGTTAGTTTTAAATTAGGTTTAAAATGTAGTGAGCAGGCTGTGCAAACCAAGTTGTCAATGGTGAGCTGTTCAAAAGCGATAACAGACTAGCGCAAAGAAAATTTTCACTTACAACGTACCGCATTTTGCCGACTATGTGCAGCACGTGTCTAAAACACCAAAGACCCAAGCACACGAACGTGTTAGAAAGCTTCAGCGCGTGACGTGTACGCTCGGCATCGCGTTCTTATGGGAGGGCGCGCAGCTACACATTATGGCCGCACCCTCTCCTTAGGAACTCGACGCGACGTCTAATCTATACAGGCCACGCAATCGGGTGCCGTAACGCATACGTGTGAACTTCAACTGTAACACGCGCGCCCAAATGCAGCCATTCGTAAACGAATACAAGCGCCCATTATGATAGGCAATCATGACTGTGGAGCCCACGTGCAAGGTCACATCATTGCAACGTAGTAGGCTGGTCGCTACGGTGGGAGTTGAGTGCACCTTACACCATTCGACACATCCGTATTAACCCTTCTAGAGAAACCATGGTTGCGATTAATGGAAAAGCTAGATTCTATATAGGAGCGATGCCCCTACATGCCAAATGTACTACTGATGGAGATGCGAGGCATGCTTACTCGATGCAATGTCGGCACCAGGACCTCCATAAAGACTCCGCAGGAAGATTGTTGGGGACAACGTAAAGACAGTCGGCGATAGTGCGAAAGATGTACCGACGGGGCACGGGGCGTGTGAATGAGTCGGCACTCCTGGAACACAAGAAATCTTGCTAGTCTACGAAAGCGCGCAGAAAAAAAAAAAACAGTCTCACAGATAAAGCTAGGGCGCGAAGCCACGGCTGGTGCTCTCCGGTCCAACGGAGAAAGTCGAAGCTATGAAAAAAAAACAGGCAATCATTTAGGCAAACTGCACGTTCCCAACACGAAAAAAAAAGGAAAAGCCTGGCCAATTAACGTAGATAGTAGTCTTTGGCAAGTTGCGGAAAGGCCGTTCACCAATATGGTTTAGCGTTGCGATATAGCTCCGCCTCGTGCTCTGGTACACTGGTCCCTAAACGACAGCTTCTCGTTAGCAAAAGCTTAGAGGCAACAATGAGGCCCGACAACCTCGTAGTAGTAAAAAGCACTATACTGCACCGAATTTCCGTAACTTGTTGAAAGACTACTATGAACATGAGTGAACTTTTAAGAAAAAGAAAAGGAGGTTAACCCACCAGCAGTCCACCCGCAGCATGTCCCGATGTGACGCGTTGTGCTGCCTTCAGACGTTGCAGCCCTCCAAACGTAGAGGCAAGCCGGCGAGGCAAAGAAAAACACCCGGAGGCCGAATAGCGGCCCGCACAAACCACATGGCGAACCCGTAAACCAAGACTGGCTCGAAATGATGGCTGTGTGGGTGCAATGGGCCCCCCGGTGGGGGGTATTCCTCCCGTGGACAACAGCTGACAAAGCTACCTATCTTACCTGCCTGACTAACAACCGCGAGCTCCACCTGACACGCACCTGTTGGCCACGGGTACCCGAAATGCGAGCATTGTCCAAGGAACCCATCTCGCTAAAGGTCCCCGCAACTTAAAATTTCGGCTGAGCTAGGAAACTAAAGCGAGTGTGTTTGGTGGACACGCCCTCACACCTCGCCGGCCTGCCATGGGAGGCTCACCTTCCATTTTCTATGCGATGCCGACGACGAGCCTCGCAGTGGTCTTCGGTGAATTGCCTAGCGACGCAGGTCCTTGCACGAAGTTCCGTAAGTCAATGTAAAGTCCACGCGGACACACGGAAGAAAGTTAAAAGACAACGCGACTCACACATACTACACACCCCGTGCCTGAACATCGCGGCAAGCCATTACATATGGCGCTGAACTGCCGTCCCAAAACGCGCAGCGTGACCGGCAGCAACAGTACAAAATGGAGGTTGCCGATGTCACAATACCGCCGATGTCACAATATTGGCGCATGCGCTGCTGCGGTTAGCTATCATGTGCCACCGTTACGTCGTGCAATCGTCTTATCGACGCGATCTGTGCGTGGCCTACACAGCAGCGGAGAGAAATGGTATAAAAAATATCAACAGAAAACATTGAAGAATAACGCATGCTGTGCGTGGTCGGCGTGCTCAAAATGTTTCAGAAGCACCTAAACTGAAAAGCGGTGGGATGGCTTCCGTGCGGCTGCCTTCTCGCGTTACCTCGCGCTTTTGACCTGCAACGCAATGATTGGCGTGACGTGCAGTTCAGAATTTGTCAAAATAATAAAGTTAAATAGATTCGGGAAGTCCTTGCTTCAAATCTTGCCACGCCACCTTATCTTGAAACCGTTGAAGTGACAATCCGCGTTCAGTTTCCTTAATTCATACATTAAGGGTTCCAGAAAAATATTACGGGAAAAAAAGAAATTGCCGTGATTCACAGTTGGCATGATATGGAATGGGTCTTAACAGCTAGCTTAAACAAGATGCATGTTTTTTATTTACACAGCCACTGGACACAAAGCAGTCATGACGTGAAAATGAGTGCGAGAAGGTCGTTTCAGTCCGATTGATTGAAATGAACTTTTATTGACCAGAATGGTATTCCCGAGTTGGAAGTCAGCAATGTGGGAGGGTCCCTCTGCAATGAGTCATCTGGCCGCAATCACCCCTCAGGCTCTGGCGACGAGGCCTTCTAGGTCCCGTGTGGAGACCTTCGTCTCACGTCTCGGCGCGAAGGGTGGTGTGTGTGGTCGTTGCGAGCTTTTTTTGCTATTGCCGTCTTCGTGGGGCCTCGGGCACACGAGTATTATACCAGTGTGTCTGGCAGGTCGCATATCTGGCAGTTGTATGCATGCATGAAGCGTCGGGCAGCTTCGACGTATAGCAGGATACCATGCGTACCCTTCTCGAGGCTCATGTACAGGTATAATCAGGCTTGTCCAGAGCAGCGGAGCACGTGGCTGTCGGCACTTCATTGTCGTGGTTTCTACATCACGTTAGTCGCAAGCTTCCGTTCGTGCTTAAATTGTGAGAAATACCCGGCACGCAGTATGACTATGTTCGGTATCATGACGACGTACGTCCGTCTTTACATATTTCTCCAGAAAAGGCAGCTGTAGAGCGGCTGGCTGGGCGCTCCAAACAAGCGTGATTTCATCTGCAGACTGTCAAACGCTTAGGCAAAATCTTGGAGCGCGTTTCATCGAGATGGGGCCATGATGCGGCCAGCGCTACAATCACGCGCCGCAGCAGCTCGCACGTGCGCAGACGCTTGAGTGTCATTTGGGAGTTTTAGAATAACGTTTGCAGAGGCTGCGGGCGTTGCGGGCATAGCGAGCGCCACATGAGTTCTAGAATAGCGTTTGCCTCCCTAGGAAAAAGTCTAGGGACTTTCGCCCCAACCGCAAACCAAAATGCACAGAAGCTACTCACAGCACTTCGCGGGCCTCGCGGGCCGCGATCGCCGCACGCTATTTCGGATTTTCTGCGTGCGGGCCGCGAACGCGGACGATGACTCGCGCTACGACGCGCGCGCAGTGGCAGCGACCACATCGCAAGGGCTCGCGGTGCGCCATTCTCAAACTCCCAAACGTGTTGATCGGTTGAACCGCGTCGCCGGCTACGGCGGCGCGCGCTGGCCGCATTGTCTGGCAGCGGCCGAGTTTCATGTTTACTGCGCGAACTGGACCGATATCACTCATCGAGTCACTGTATACGCCTCACTGCCGTCCAAAATGAGAGCCGTCATTGTTGCCGCTGGGGACGTATGATGAGGTGATATATCGCGTTTGCTAAAACTCAATCTTGACGCAACAACAGCGGAAAAAGTTACGACGTCGTCGACAATTAATGTAGGTTCTTGTAAGCCAGGAATTTTTATTGAATTTCAATATATTTTCAGCTTTTTTTGGGGTAATTTTTTACACGGGTATTATATGCGAGTAGTTTTTGGCAAACTAGTAATGAATCAAATAATAAAGACGATCGTTTTTCATGCTCTTTTGTTTATTGTCGTTTCACAAAGTACAGAAGCGGGCCTATCTGATATGTGTGATACATACAAAGTTGAAAAGATTGGCATGATGCAGCACAAGTGTGCAACAGGCAATGGTGCCATTGATAAAAAAAAACAAAAAAACTGCACCTTCAAAAACGTAGGTCTGCAACTGGATTAACCGACGTGGAGGACACTCACAATGTCGTCATGGTATCTATAAGATGACGGTGCACTCATCCGCACTTTGAAAATCTCGTTCGACTGATTCATTCAGTTAGAACGAAGCACATATTCACAGGATGTTGCGGTGTTTACAGGCTTGCCTTACCCTATTTCGAGCTTATACTGAACAGCACTAAGCTCTAGAAGTAAGGCGCAATGTTTATACTAGATGCAAGATGAATAGTAGTTACGGTTAGTTGTAAATTCATTTAACATAGTCGCCGTCTTTTTAAGCAACGTCAGGGAGAGAACAGGCGAAAACCTAAGCTCTCACTTTAAGTCATAGACGACGTTAGTCTCATGTAGCTTTTAGTGTACCTCTATTGTTTGTGCTGTAAGGGTTGACACAGCCTGTACAAGCGAACTCACCAGGGCGGTAGCCCGATTTCGTCTCGTGTTTGTGCATTATGCTGATTATTGGATGACGACGCAATGGCAAATAATAGTTCTCATTGTGGGTTATGGTCATCCCGAAAACAGAATTTGATGTACCCATCTCTGATCTGTTCTCTTCTCCTGCAAACTGTGCGACAGCGAATCACGCGTGCCAGATCATCCGGTGAAACTTCAAAATACGCAGAACGTGGTGCACTATGAACCCAGTGATAGCGCATGGTGCTTCTAAACAATAAACGGACACTTGCACGATGTTGACGGGGAAAGTAAAAGTGTTGCATGCAGTAGAAGAACGGTGAGAAAGGACGACAAGGCTTAAAAAGCAGGGTTATGAACAGAGTGCCGAAGAGCCACTTATTAGCTAGGAGGTGCATGAATGCTCCACATTATCACTCAGCTAACACGCAGCACTCCGGCTATGGCAGCATATGTGTGGTGCAGACACGTCACGGTTCGCAAAGCTATGGCGCTATCGTTCATGGGAACAAGTCCTGTCCGTTTCGTTGCAGAAAAAGTGTAAAAAAAAATCTAACTGAAATCGCTTTTCGTCTCTTGTATGCGCTTCTAGCGTACGAGCTATCTGAATGGCAGAAAAAAAACCGGCGTGAACAAAACGGCGGCTGATGTGAGATGACCACATCGGGATACCACTTTTACCTGGAAACTTTGCCCTTTGGTTACGCCTGAATATAGCACCCCTTGCGATCTTCACCGCCAGGCCACGTAGTCGCCGATCCACCACACTTTAGGTATTCTCGCCACGCACCATGTACGTCGCATGAGAGAGACACCAAGAGTACACCCATAGTAGGCGTGTCATACCTTTACCTTCGCTGCTACTCAACTTTTCGATATGCAGATGGAAGTACCTATGTCGTGATGTTAGCACGCAGGTGCAACGAAGCAACCTGGATTCTGTTAATAGGCTTTGGTTAGTGGTGTCGGTGATGGCAGCGGTGCGACCTTGTCCGCCTACAGGCCTGCGCCTGGAAGGCAAACGTGTGTTTGTGTGTGCGTGTGCGCTGATTCGCAGTCGTTCTCAAAACGAGCACGTGTTTATCATACTGCGCGTTGCCGTTCGTGCGTGCTGTGAGGCTAAAAGCATTGCTCCGATTCGAAATCCTACGCGAAGAATTTGTTGGCGCCGTGTGTCGTCTAGGTCTCGGTAGTCATGACTCGGTCTTCCGGCACGGTGGTGATGCCGGAAGCTTCGGAGCGCGTGTCGTCGCCTCCGCTCGCTGGCGGGACGCACACCAGCGACGGGAAGCGACGTCCGAGTGCAGCTCGGTACTTGGGGTGACTGATGCCGTACACGATGGGGTTGTAGCAGGCGTTGGCCTTGGCGAACACCGAGCCCCAGATGGTTGACAGCGGCGTCAGCTTGGCGCCATCGCTGAAGATGCCCATCCAGGCGATGGTCAGGTACGGCGTCCAAGCCATGAACCACAAGCCGACGGTCATCATGGCGATCTGCATTAGAATTGAGAATACCGATGACAGACCCTTAACAAAGCTATAGAGGCACTCGTTTCGAGCTTCGCGTCACTCAAGGCAGAGAAAAAGAAAATCATGGCTGCGCTGCGCCAACAGCATCTTAGGAGCGAAGATCCTTAAGCCGTGGGTGGTGCGTATATACCCGATGTATGTAGTAGTAGTAGTGGTAGTAGTAGTAGTAGTAGTAGTAGTAGTAGCAATAGTAGTAGTAGCAGTAGTAGTAGTAGTAGTAGTAGTAGTAGTAGTAGTAGTAGTAGTAGCAATAGTAGTAGTAGTAGCAGTATTAGTAGTAGTAGTAGTAGTAGTAGTAGCTATAGTAATAGTAGTAGCAGTAGTAGTAGTAGTAGTAGTAGTAGTAGTCGTAGGTAGCCACCTTTTGTTTAGTCCTTGGAATGTCCGCTGGATGGCGGTACTTGTATATTATGAATAAATTGTGAAAAGATGCGAGACGGCGATGCTTGGAGTGCTCACTGGATGGATGGACGGATGGACGCATGGATTGATAGACAAGCATACGGACGGCCGACGGATGGACGCGCGCACGGACGGACGCTCGAACAAACGCACGGGTGGACGCATGGACGGTCACACATACGGCCCGACGAACGCTTCGCCCCACTCATCATCATTCACTCTGTGGATACAGTGCCGGGATTTTTTTTTTATTCAAGAGAAAGCACACATGTCTTTTCAGCATGAAGTCGCGAAATAAATTCATACAAGTTTCTCAGAAAGAAACTTTTCAGTTGAAGAAAAATTCTTCGCTGTGCCGTGTTCTAACGCGGCGGCAAAGTCTTTCCGGATTCGTTCCTCTATACATTTGATCTAAGCAAGAAGAGCGAATGAATGGACACTACGTCTGCAAGGTAACTATGCATTCGTTGATTATATATAGGGTTTAACGTCCCCAAACCCTTATATGATTAAGAGAGACACCGTAGTGGAGGGCTCCGTAAATTTCGACCAGCCGGGTTCTTTAACGTGCACCCAAATTTGAGCACACGGGCCTACCACATTTTCGCCTCCATCAAAAAAGTAGTCACCGCAGGCGGGATTCGATCCCGCGACCAGCGGGTCAGCAGACGAGTACCTTAGTCACTAGACCACCACGGCGGGCCGTATTATGCATTAGTGCTACACTCTACAAAAAGAGCGAGTAAAAAGGGTGTCTTTTTGTCCCACAACAATATTCGTCATCTATATTGCGTTTTATCCTTGCGCTATCGCCCCGCGCCCGGTACATTCCGGTTACGATCGACATGCCCATTATCGGGGTTACATTGCATTCTCGATAGGAAAGCGGCTAGCGCCGAGTTTTCAAGAAAGGAAGCGCACGCAAGCCTGATGACGATTATTGTTGTGGGACAAAAAGACACCTTTTTTACACGATATTTTGGATGTGGCGAGGCTTCCCCTATCGCAAGCATTTACTTATCCATGTTGTGGGCTTCCGCTGGACTGATTCGCATTACTCGGAATTGTTTTGTGCAACACCTACCTTAGCGAGCCTGGCCTCGGCACTGGTCTTGTTTTGCTCGGAGTTGGCGCGCAACGAGGCCACGTTCATTTTCCTCGCCTGCACGCGCAACTGCTTCTCGTGCTGCGCCACGGTGCGCACGATCTTTGAGTAGCAGAATACGTTGATGAAGAGCGGGGTCCAATAGGCAGCCACAGCGTACGTTACCACGTACGATGCCGACAGCAGCGTCTTGGTGAGGTAGTCGACGGTGCAACTCGTCATGTTGCCCTCGGGTACGTATCTGCGATGTAAACATTCATTGCAACAAGTGGGCAAGAAGTGGGAAATAGCTCTCGTAAAAGTGCATATGAAATGGTGAGACCAAAATGAGGCAGCTTCACGTGCACATGCATTTCCATAAATGAGGCATAATGGCGCTTCATCACAACGTCCACTCAATATGTTTAGAATTAATATCTCTTTCAACCCCCTATTCCCCAACCCCAGTGTAGGGTAGCATAGTAGCATACCGGATACTAGCATCTGGTTAACCTCCCTGCCTTCCTTTTTTCTCGTTTCTCTCTCTCTCTAGAATTAATACTTTCCTTTCACCCGGTTTTTTGTAATTTTTATTTTGGACCAGTCTTGACAATACAGGTATAAATACATGTACTAGTCAGGTTTAGTTCCGCCATCGTAGCACAACGTGCACGTCAACAAAATATCAATTATTTAGCGCAATACACTCTTATAAACAAAGTCACAGCTTTGCCGCAAAGGCGAAGCAATGAATGCGATAGCAACCAATTGGAATGTCACGCGAAGAATGGAAAGCAGATCAAAACGTGTCCCCCGTTGCTCACGCACAAATGACGCATGAAACGTACTCACAGATTCAGATGAGCACGAATAAATGTCTCAGTTGTTGCTTAGCTGTGTCTGAAAAGCGCACCCTTTTCGCAGGTGGAGACTGTGCAGCGAGTGCAGTGACCTTTGTGAGCCCGGTAACTACAACAGAATTGTTCCGGTGAAAGCCCAATGCGCATGATTGTTGCCACCGCGAGATAAGCGTGAATACGCCTGAACTTCTACCCCCACCCCTCCGCGGGGCAAAGTACGCGTGGGAGATGAACGCATGAGCATGAGTCGCGCGTCGTGACGATCTGTCGACGCCAAGGTCCCCATATCGCGTGCTCATTGCACCATCTCGCTGGTAATGCTGAAAACACGATAGTTCTCCCGAGATTGGCATCGCCAGCGATAAAGTGGTACATAAAGAGCTGGACATTTCCACGTTGAAAGAGGTTGTCTGCGTCCGTAGGGTATATATAGTGCCTGTCGTGATCTTAAGCCCTTCCTTTTTTTCTATAGTCATTGAACGCGTGACTCACTTTCAATGTAATGAGCTTGCTTATTTAATACGCCTTTCAATTTTTATGTGCCGTTATCTATACCACTTTGGTAAATGTTATTCTGGGGGCCAGAACAACCACTATAAACCATATTATTTTTACTCTCGCACCCTCGTTAAGAGCAATAATGCATATCTTGACGCCAGTTATCATCTGTCAGCGAGGCCAGTGCAGTGGCTGCTACGTAGTTACGTCTCAGCTGATGGCGAGTGAGCAGTGATGGCCATCATATGATAAGAACAAGCTGGATGATAGCGTAGTCGTCCGTTCCGCGTAATCGGCAGTACCCCACCGGCCCCCGCCCTCAACAGAAATGGCTACCGCTTGCAAGCGATGAAAATGCTGGTCTATATCTAGAACGAAAGGTTCCCAGATCAAAGGGTGTCTTACCACTTTACCGCTTGGAGAAGCACGCATGCACCGTGACATGGCGAAAAGACAGTCTAGCCGTCTAGAGCACACAGAGTGCGGCGCGGGAACGTCGCGACGCACCACGGTGGTCGCGATAACTATGCATCATTTGTCGAAAGAATAGCCAATTATTTATATAGTTAACTTTTAAACCTAATTGTAGATTCCATGAAGCGCGCTTCGCTATGATGTTTCGGCTCACATGTTCTCAGGAGCCCAGAGTACCGACTACAGCATACATCTTCAGACCATGTTCAAAAAATTATGCAGGCCCATTTTTATGTAGAAGAAACAACGCCAGCTCTGCAGCCTCACACATACAAATGTAACTGGAGAAAGGAAAGTCTGAAAAGTAGTTGTGAGAAATTTATGCGATGCAGGGAAGTTTGAATTGCAGTAGAATACGCATCTCGGGTTGTTTGGTTCATGCTTAAGACGAAGCGCTAAACGACAGGCCGAAGATATGGCCGATACTATGGTACGGAACCACAGCTTCGTGGTATGTGTCCTCCTTTTATCTTGTTATTTGTCGCTGTTTTTGCTGCTTGGATGTCTGAACGTCTGAATGAGACAAGCTGGAAGCTGGACAATCCAAGTTGAAGCTAGTTTGGACATGCGTTCAGCGGTAGATTCAACTGTCGTCCATTATTACAGTCCTTCGATTCCCTATCGATTTCAATGTACGTTGGTTACTGTAATTTGGCTCGGCAAAACCATACCTGCTCCAGCCGAAAAACGGCAGCAACGTCCAGGTGAAAGCCCAAAACCAGACGAAGAAGATCATCAACGCCGCCTTCTTGTGTGTGAGTGGTGCTGCTGCCACGCCGCGCACGATCACGTTGTACCGGTCCAAGGTGATCATCACCATGGACCATATGGAGCCGCACCCGAAAATCGAGCCCGTCATGCCGTACAATTCGCACATGAATGGCCCCAAGATCCACGTTTCGGCGAAGCAGTTGGCCGCCATGGTCGGCATCTGAAAGGCCATCATGCACCTGGAATATGGGAGGGGGGAGGGGGCGTTGCGAGATCAGACACATTTTAGGACACTTGGCGCCATTGACTGATTTCTGACTGATCCTCGTATGAGAGAGAGAGGCATGAGCCGCTATCTACTTTTCTGTTGGGTTAATGGCTCAGTGCCTATAAGGCAGCAAAGAAGACCCTCCTTCAAGTGCTAACTAGGCACGCATAGATAGTATCGTAAGGGTACCCTCCCTCCCCTGAGGAGGAGGAGGAGGAGGAGGAGGAATAAATGAGGAAGGACAGGGAGGTTAGCCAGTTCTCAGACGCTCCTTTGAACATCTCCCTGCACCTATGAGCAGCATTAGCATGCTAACCAGAACAGCACCATAGCTGTTTAAAGGATGCGTCGTTCTCCCATTTGTCTGCCCACTCTACTACCTGTGGTGGCACCCCAGAATTTTGACGCACGACCACCGCTTACAGACACACGGGATTTCACATAAGAGAGATAGCTGAAGCCCTCTCTATCTGCAAGGATGGTGAAGCGTTTGTTAGCGCACCACCGACTGCATTACTTGATTGCGAGCTGACGTATTTGAAGAAAACGTAATGATGCTACCTGTGTAGTCTTTTGTGTCATGTATTGCTTGCACGCGCATCTTCAGTTCTTCTTGCTTCCAGTTGTAAGCCACCACTCGTGTTGTTTAGTCTTCGTGATTCTTCTCTGCGCTGTTCCGAACACAAGCGAAACAGCCCAACTCTCCCTTTTGCTAATAAGATAAAGATAATATTTGAAGGTTACAATCCCCTCCTTAATGAACACTTCCCGTTTATGGCCTATATTCATCAATTGCACCGAACGAGCTCACTCTTGCCAATAATTGATTGGTATGTGAAGTATAACGTCCCAAAAGTACCATATGAGTATGACAGACGCCGTAGTGAAGGGCTCCGGAAATTTCGATCACCCGGTGTTCTTTGCCGTGCACTCAAAGAGCACACGGGCCTACATCATTTTCGCCTCCATCGAAAATGCAGCCGCAGTATCCGGGATTCGATACCACGATCTGCAGGTCAGAAGCCGAGTACCTTAGCCACTGGACCACCGCGGCGGGGCACTTTTGCCAATACGCAACATGTTCTATATTGTAATGTGAAATACAATCAAACGATTCCGCGCAATATAAAGTTTGCTGTCACAGCCACCTTGAATGAGGGTTCATTTTCTTCGCACGAAACATTCATGACAAATTAAGTTTTCATTCAGTCATCGTGCCTTAAACTATTCTGGAAGAGTATGGCGCCGTCACTGATTGTGCCGAACACCGGGCTATAATGGAATAGGTAGGACATAACAGCTGCTGATTCACGTATGAAGAACGTGGCACGAATCAAATGAACGTCAACCAATGATTCAGCACTTTGCGACGCAATTACACCAAGAATTTTATGGGTTGACGAAGACCGCTCTTCATTGAGGTATCGTAACTCACCAATAAAAAAGTGCTGTTGCGATTCTTCTAAGCTGTAACGTGACTAACGTTACATTATTTTAACTGCACCATTACTTTAACAAAGGACTGCGCAGTTTTTTGTGTACTGCTGACGAGCGTTACCGCTTCAGTTGACTACCCTAGCTGCTGTCTCAGAGTTTAGCTCGATCAAGGAAAGCAGGAGCACTGTCCAGTTGGTGCATTGCTGGGATATACTTGACGCTCCTCGCAAAATAGAGTGAACGATGGCTACAGGCTAGTGTGTTTTCTGTGACAGAAGGATTTGCACACTTACCAGTCTGAGAAGGCGAGGTTGACAACGAGCATGTTGGTAGGTGTGCGTAGCGATTTGGTGGTGGTCATGATGTATATAACCATGCTGTTGCCCATGATTGAGATGACGCCCAGCACGACCATGGCGAAGCCTAGGAGGCTGTGCCATAGAGGGTTCATAGGAGGGAACCGGTACCAATGCGGATGAATCATGTACATCATGTCGTCCGGCACATTCTCTACCACCGTGCCGTTCTTCATGTACGGGGTGGCCAGCTCGTCTAGGAAAGACATGCTGCGAAAAGGCAATAAGACGACGATTGCACTTTTAAAGATAGATAGATAGATAGATAGATAGATAGATAGATAGATAGATAGATAGATAGATAGATAGATAGATAGATAGATAGATAGATAGATAGATAGATAGATAGATAGATAGATAGATAGATAGATAGATAGATAGATAGATAGATAGATAATAGATAGATAGATAGATAGATAGATAGATAGATAGATAGATAGATAGATAGATAGATAGATAGATAGATAGATAGATAGATAGATAGATAGATAGATAGATAGATAGATAGATAGATAGATAGATAGATAGATAGATAGATAGATAGATAGATAGATAGATAGATAGATAGATAGATAGATAGATAGATAGATAGATAGATAGATAGATAGATAGATAGAGTTCTCGGTTAACAAATGTGTGGTTATTGATATAACGAACAGACTGAGCTCCTATCCCCAGGAGAGGCTGAGGAACGCAGCTAAAGGTAACGACGAGTTTGCGCATTACATGTTCCGTAGCATATATTTAAATGGCGTTCTGGCTCTGTCGTTGAAACTTCCGTTACAAAACCGAAAATGACTAAAATGACACCCTTTGAGAGGGGGAGCGGAGATATAGTGCTGTATCCACGATTGCTTGTTTGACTATGACGCCTGAAAGTGAAATTGGTTGCGTAGCAAGGGGGTGGTACACCGGGACCTCCCTCCCTTCGAAATCGGCGATTTTTTAGCGACGGCAAACAGAGCAGTAAATGACACTCGACCACAATTCCGCCGCATGGCCACAGTTATGACCACTTGGCACTCGACCCCTCACTTCAGGTCAAGGAGGTGCTTCGCCCCACCCCTTCCCGAAAAGAAATTTCTGCCTGCGCCTCTACCTGAAAGCAAGAGATACGCCGCAGTGTACGGTTATGGTGGAACTCGGACCAGCCGAAAATCCTCAATATACGTCTAAAATAATAAACTAGAGCACCTTAATTATCTACTTCAATCGAAAAATCGCCTGCCGGGGACGGTATCCCCAACCAATGACCACTGTCATCAACAGTGGTGCTCCGTCGCAGTTCAAGCTAAGCGGGAATAACCTTAGCGCTCGTTAGCATACCTTTCGCAAGGACGCCCAAGTTTTCGGCTCCGCAGAGAGATTGACATCGCTGCTGTAACAACTTACGCCATTGTGGTGATGTCCCCTGGCACGTCGCTTCCCGTCGCTGTCGGCATGGTGCACACCGGGGAGTGCACACGGAGCGGAATGGTGGGCTGCTCGAAGTCCAGAATGCGGCCTGCGCTTAAATGCATTAGCAAAAGGGCGCCGAGAGGCTTCGCCGCCAAACTCGATTACACGCGGCAACGTAGCCGCGCCCGCTCCACGGGACACGCCGAGCGCCGTTTAGTATGGACAAATCCACCTAATGTGGCACTCTGTCTCAGCCCGGCACGAACGAAAAAAATAAAATAAAATAAACGCGTGCCGTGTATTCACGCGCAGAAGCGGTGACATCTGTAAGCGCACTCAATAATAATCTGAATGGTTAGGTTGCGTATAGGTGCGGTTGCTCTGTTTCTTATTCTTCCCACAAATGCCGCACGCGTAATCACCTCGGGAGTAACGGTCAACGTCCTCCGTGGTTTGTAGGAAGCGGAGAGATTTCCGGCGTTCAAGGTCGGCCATGATTTCTGGGTGTCCTTCACCTAGATTTCATGGATGTGGAGCGCTTGCAAATAATTGTTTTATTGTACATGATACGCATTCATACATGTGTGGTTCCCTTGCACATTTCATATTTTTCTATATTCTGTTTTATTGCCATTTTCTTGTCCCCTCATGGAATCTTTTTATTCCGATTCTCCATCCCCACAGCATGCCAGTGGCATTAGGTGCCGGCAAAAAAAAAACTGTTTTTCTGATAGTCTCTTTACCCGCAGGTCGCGGGATTGAATACCGGCTGCGGCGGCTGCATTTCCGATGGAGACGGAAATGCTGTACGCCCGTGTGCTCCGATTTGGGTGCACGTTAAAGAACCCCTGGTGGTAGAAATTTCCGGAGCCCTCCACAACGGCGCCTCTCATAATAATATGGTAGTTTTGGGACGTCAAACCCCACAAATCAATCAACCATTAAACCCCTGACAGTTGCGCGTCATTGTGTACAATATCCCTGTCTCCGATACCTGCCATCTGCAACACCCACTGACATTCTCTCACTTTCATTCTTCTTTATTATTTTTCTACGTGTTTATCATTCAATCTTTTGCAGAATAAAATCACCAGGCATTCATGTTTGCAAATCAAATGATGGCTCATATTAGCAGATAATAAATTAATTTCTAAAAAACAGTACAACGTAATATGTATAGCACCTGGAGATAATTGCAGGGTACAATATCTTCCTATTTGTTCTCTTTTTTTTATCTCGTTCGATTGACCGAACCTAAAAAAATAGAAGACAGGTACGCTGATACAATCAAACACGACTAGATTTAACTTGAGCAAAGTCCGTTATCCGTCATACATATAGAACTAATTTCGATTGTGGTGATGATGATGATTATTATTATTACAACCTAATTATGGTCCAGAGAAGACGCACCCGCGTTGCACGGCTAACGCTTTAAGTCAATGCATAGGAAAAGGTGCGGCTACATCGAACATATATCGAACATCAAGCAGCGGGAAGCGTTCCAAGGCGTTGGCTTTCACTCGTAAGCTTTTTGTCTTCTGCTCGTGTACGGGGACTGTACCGCATGCATTTGAGACCGAGCAGCGTGATTTGAAGGGTGCCGCGAAGAGAGAGAGTGTGTAAACTACCACTTGCCATCGCATGCTTTCCACGTGAAAGTTCATTTAGAGGGAACTATATGGCGCTATGATCCTTCAGCCACCATAGAATGATGGGTAGTACATGGATTTGCCTAATCTTCGTGCTTGATGCTTTGAATGCGCTAGTAGCTTTCTATATTGTTATGTTTTTGGTTTTTGTTTTGGATAAAGAAATGAATCATCGGGAATTTCGTGAGATGAACATAAAAGCTTAAGGTTGTGAAGTGGAACAGCTGACCCTTTGATGAACTTCATCTTTCAAAAAAGCTGATAAAGACCTCACGGAGCCAAGCTGGGCAGACGGAAAAAGAAAGTTAAAACAAATCCGTGTACTACACAACTTTCACGTGAGCTCAATGCAATGCAGCTCCCGTGGACAGTATAGCACTAATAGCGCCTTAGTTCCCGTAGGAAGCAATATGCGCTGTTGCGCCGCTGGCCCATCGAGCGTGGTTGCTGTTCACTTCTCCGCTGGTTTTGTTAGCGCGATGCATGCCATGAAATAGAAGAGTCCTCCGTTCTTCGCAAAGATGGCACTAGTCTGTACAGTGGAACTTGAGAAAAGAAGCCGCATACGTCACTGCCGTTGAGTACAATACCCTATGAAGCACGATGAATATTATAATCAACGCCGACATCAGGGTCACGGCACACTAGACGCTTACTGCGCCTGGCCAGTGCACACACCTACGTGTGAAGATGTTCAGGCATTATTAACATCAACGGCGTATTTTAACACAAAAGTGTTTTATGCCGGAGTCCACCACGGCTCCTTGACGTATTTGCGTCACGGATATGACGTTGTCAAATATTTACTAACAGAGTGCAAAGAAAAAAAAACAGAAGGAAAAGTTGCACAGCGGAGCGTTCAACCAGTGACCTTGCGCTCCTCTGCGCGCACCGCTGACCGCTAAGCCACCGAGCGAATCTTCTCTTCGAACATGTTCATGGCAAGTTTGTTTATATACACCATTTACCACTGGCAGTCCTCAGAGCCCACCACTTCAGCACGTTTTCGTCATCAGTATCAATAGAGAGTTTTAGTTCAGCGCGCGCAACGGCCTAGAAGATCCATCGCCCGAGAGAGAGCACGGCTGCGCATGCACTGCACGCAACAGAGATGCGTACGCTTCTGTGCGCGAGGGATGCGTACAATAGATCTCGGCTCGTATACATTGCGCACGCTACAGCTGCTGCGTACCTTAGCAGTGGCTCTCGCGAGATCTACCCCTGGTGAGAGCACGAAAACCAAGATGGCCGTGACGAACAGCAACACAAGCAGAAGTGCGGTCATGGCTGCGAGTAAATTCCGCGTGCATTTTACGATTGCCCTGAATGTGGAGCTCCTTGCTTACTTGAGGAGCTTAAATCCGCTCACGGACCTTGTGGAATGAACAGTTATCGCTCTGAAAATACAGGAGCTAACGGGGGTGCTTTTTAACGCTCGGAATGTCCGCAGTATCATGTCTCATATCTTCACTCGTGTCAACTATGGTTGGCTATTGTAGTTTTTTGCCTAGTCACTAGGTGGCACCAAGTAGCACTCCAAGACGAAAGTGTTTACACTTAGGCGCAGTCCATGTGTCCGTTGTCGCGTACGCTAAACTAATACTGTAGAAACAAGCCTCCGCTGTAACGTACGTAGTGCGCTATAGCCGTTGCGCACGTACCGCCTCGCGCGCGCTAAACTAAAACTATCTAGTATGGCACCACACGCGCGCATTGTGCGAAGCGCTCCAAAGGTCGTTGTGCCGCGCCACGCCGCGCATCGATGTGCTCGCGCGCCTCCACATGGCGTGGTCAAAGCGCGTATAGATGTCATCTAGCGAGGAGGATCACTCGCGCGCGCTCTTATCTCGACATTCGAGCGCTCTGTACCTCTTGTGCTTCCACCGCAAGCTTGCTTTGAAATCAGAGTAGAGCACGAATGTAACATCGCTCGCTGCCACGGCTGCGTTTCCGAAAGGAGCGCGCTGCTCACACACGAAGAAGTAAGATTGTGACCGTTGTTCGTGCTCACCCAGGTGTATACTTGTGCGTTCCTTTCACACATTCTTCTTTCTGTTTGAGCCGCATGATCTGAGAGTCCAGATGTGACAGTTGTTTGCCCGCGCTCATCCTCTGTACGCTCATTTCATGCGTGCTTTCCGTTTGAGGTGTGCGCTGCAAGTTTCGAGCTGTTTGCCTTTCTTCGCGTGGCATTACAATTTCTTACTGCGGCATTCACTCCATTGCTCTTGTGGCGAAAAAATGCACAACTTGTGCTCAACTACCTCTGTGAGGAGACGTTTCATGTTATACCGATTCCTAAAAAGAAAGATCAACCACGTTTTTTTTTTTTCGGTACACTACCCACCCCGGCATATAAACCCGCACCCCATTTACGAACCGCGGCTAATGTGAAATGGAAATTGAAGAAAGCAAAATCCGCATATAGCTGTGAAGGCGTGTTCTTTACATTTTCGCAAGGCAACGTCGTTCAACATGCTGACCGAAATTCGCATCACAAACACAATAATTTATTTGAAGGTTTTGAATCGAATTATACGACATAACACTCTTATCGCTATTTTTCGTGACTTCGATGTACGAGTGCACGACCGTGTCAGAAAATTCGCAGTAAAAGTGGATTTTATGCGTTAATGCATTGCGGAAAGTACGTTCCGAGTGACTCCTGCAATCCAGGAGCACTTGTTTCAATACAATAGTAAATAATGTTGCACACACAGCATTACCTATCGTTGGGCAGAATGGGAAGCCTAAAAAACACCGGGCTATCACTGGGGCGCGTCGTGGAGGCTCATATTTGGCCACATTGTGGAAATGTCCAGTAAGCGACGCCGCATGTTATCTACGAAAGGACGACGTCCAAACATGTCTTTCGGAAGCGCTGCTGTTTTCTCGAAACGAACACCGGACTCCTCACAGCGCTGGCTCCTTGCCACGCGGCTTCTTCTCACGAGAAGCCTTGGAGAGAGACCGCGGTGGGACACATGTGCGGATTCGTAGTGCGCCCCCGGCTGCCAGCGCAGATTGTGTTTTTGTGGTCGCTGTTAACCAGTTTTGTCTTGGGAAAAAGAACCCGAAACAAATGCACAGACTAGATCAATAAAAATAGAAACAACGCAGGCGCTCATTTGCAACTGAAAATAACTTGAAAAAAGAACAAGTATCAAGTAATGACGTCTTGATTAATATGTGTATAGGTGAGTGCGGGTGTTGTGTTTCTTTTTTTTACTCGCAACTCTTTGACTTTGGTTCGCTCTGTTACTCTAAAACTAATCCGTACCAACTTGGCTGATTGCATGCATTGATGACATGTCTTGTACATTCAAGTGAAACATGGATTGTCTAAACACGGTAGAGTCAGACTGCGTGGCGTCCTTAATTACACGACGAATAGAATAATTTAATAATGC